AACAACTGCAACACTTTGCTTGTATCCTTAATGAATGAAGAGTGATCTTATAAAATAGGCATAAAAGTTTTTTGTTTGAAATGAAGCAATTTTAAGGTCACCTTAGTAAACTCTGGTGACCTATCGCTATCTGTTTTCAACGTGCGTTGTGTGTTAACATTTGAACATTTTCAGCTTCTTCTCTGCAACCACTGAACCAATTTCAACCAAATTTTGCACAGAGCAACTAGGGGTGAAGGGGAACAAACATTTTGAATTTCATGATCCATGTCCCCCTTGGGTCTGAGGGGTGGGGCCAAAACCACTAAAATTATTGCCATCTTTAAAAATCTTCTTTTCTACTTCTGGACATCAAGCAGTCAAACTGTTTTGCATAATTGTTATCAGCATTGAGTTTTTTTTATCAAAATTGTGAAATTCATGGCCCTGGGGTTAGGGGTTTTAGTGCTAGGGCGGGGTTATAGCGAGTATATAGTGAAAATGCATTATTTCTTTGAAAATCTTCTTAACTGATCCAGGGTATTAAACAAACTACACAAGTACATAGTACTTCAAGTATAGTTTCAGAATTGTTGACGGAAGAAAAAGAAAAAAAAATATCGTGTAATGGGATGTTAAAAAAAATGATTCAGGCCATTTCTAGGTAGTAGATCGGGAGAGAGGGCAACCAAATATTTTTATAAGGAAGAAATTCTTCAAAATCACCTGTCAGTTTTGAATACTTTTAATATTCCACAGAGCCAAAATGAATTTGAACTACCTTATATATATTGGATTCCGAAACTTCATAAGAATCCTTACAAACACAGATACATTGCAGGTTCCAGTAAATGTTCAACCAAGCCTCTTTCGTTACTTCTCACTAAAATATTGACAGTAGTGAAAGAAAAACTTCAAGAGTACTGTACAACTATATATTTAAGAAGTGGTGTAAATCAGATGTGGATACTTAAAAATTCTAAAGAACTTTTGGACAATTTGAAATCACAAGACTTTACAAAAATCAACAGCATAAAATCTTACGACTTTTCAACTTTATACACAACAATTCCCCACGACAAATTAAAATCCAGGCTTTTTAATATCATTGACAGCTGCTTCTTCAACAAAAATGGAACTCGTAAGTTTACTTACCTCGTCATTGGTCATTTGAAAAATTATTTTGTTAAAACAGATTCTGATTGCACACATAAGTACTCGGAAGTTGACATCAAAAAGATGCTTGAGTTTCTGATTGACAATGTCTATGTGGTTTTTGGAGAACAGGTATTCCAACAATCTATTGGAATTCCCATGGGTACAAATTGCGCTCCGTTATAAGCAGACTTATATTTATATTCATATGAAGCAGAATTTATGCAAAATCTTTTGCATGAAAAGAAGAAAACACTTGCTGTGGCCTTCAACTCGACATTTAGATATATCGACGACGTATTGTCAATTAATAATGATAATTTCCATTCCCACGTCGACACGATATATCCTGATGAGCTTGAGATAAAAGATACCACAGAGTCCGACACTTCTGCTTCATACTTGGATATTTTACTTGAAAAAGACACTAATGGTAATCTAACAACCAAGCTATATGATAAACATGATGACTTCAACTTTTCTATCGTCAACTTCCCTTACTTATGCAGCAATATACCTTCATCACCTGCATACGGAGTATTTATATCTCAGCTGATTCGATACGCAAGAGCATGCTCTACGTATGAACAATTTCTTAAACGAGGTAAATTATTGACAAGCAAGTTGATGAAACAAGAATATCAACAGTCTCATTTAAAGTCTTAATTTCGTAAATTCTATGGTCGATACAATGACCTTGTCAGTAAATACAATTTATCATTGAATGAAATGCTGACTGACGTTTTTCATACCAATTGTTAGTCCATTATTTATACACTGAATTGATCACGGATTTTTTCCGTTATTTCCTGATTATGACAACGAGCACACGGCGGGTGTGACCGGTCGGCAAGGGATGCTCACTCCTCCATGGCACCTGATCCCACCTCTGATGTTTCGGAGGTCCGTGTTTGCTCTGCTCTTATTTTGTATATTTGTTTAATGGACGTTGAGATTGAATACTGTTCGTTATATCCATATCCTTCTTATAACAAGTGGTCTTATAAGGCTAGTACATGTCCCATAACAAACTTAGTAATGCAATTATTTTTTAAATCTTTGACACTATTTTGAAAAACAAACATAGGATTTTCTGGGCGAGGGTTAATACTCACTTTTTTGCGACGATAGACAAGCATATGCAATGGACCTTTCTTTGCAAACATTGTGCTCGCTTCTAAATTTCATAGAAACAACTCATTATATTTTATCAAGCTTCGTATGTTCAATGAGCGAGAGCTTACAACGTTGTCAACATAACGAGACATGATGCGTTTTTGTGTCCAAACATGACCCCAAAAAATGTGTGGGTCATTGCAAACATTCTAGCTATTTATGTGAGGTGCCTGAAGGAAATCCTATAACTGCCTATTTTTCCTAACTTCTAAACAAAATAGACATATGTACCAACTTTTCGAATGTAAGACATGTAATTGCAATTTATTTTTCATGCACTGCATATTGTTTAACATTTTCAAATTAAATGCTAAGCGTCCTCCTTGCAGTGCCCCATTTGAAAATAACTTCTATCGCCACAGAAAAAAGACCCTCCGTAAACACAAATGTTTAGGACATAATAATAATCTTTTTTTCTTGAGTTTTAAAGAAACCAACAAATTATCAAGACTTGTTTCATAAAAATTAAATATAATCATGGTAATAAACGGATCTATCCACAGCAGATATATGCACATGCCAACCATGTGCTTAGTGGAATAATATTAACGAGGAATTTCGAATTGTAAACAGGACAGTTTTTCCCGATTTGCTGGAGTGAGGTTAAAATCGCGTTTTTTCATTAATCAGACGATGCGATGCAACAAATAAAAGTAGTAAGTAATATAACCTAATGATTATTACTTAGTAATTTCTTGTCTTTATGTTAAAATCATTGTTATTCGAACTCTGTGTGACAGAGGAATGGCGGACGAAATAAACACATGGCCCCAGGAAGACACCCATATGAAAAATCAAATTTTCAAGAATTATGGATAATGACAAGAAAAAAACGAAACAAATGGTTGTAGCCATATTATCAATGAATCAAATTAACTCCATTTTCAATGCATTTTTCATCTCATGAATGCTGTAGCTGCGTAGTTCTTACATGATTAATTTTCTTCTTATTAAGACAAAATAAACTTAATTATTTACTAATTTTGATCTCTAACTGTGGGTAATTAGTGCATTAGCACTTTGAGTAACTTTGAGCTAGTTTAGAAGAGTATTAAGCGCATTCTTGGTATTTCTTAGTTTACAGCAGACTAGATCCAATATGGCTTGTACATCCCCCTTAAGATTTAGTTCATACATGTACCCCCTTCCCAATCTTCACCTTAAAAGTGGTTCATCTATCCTTCCATGGTCCACATTTAACCCTATCCCCAGTCATAATTAAAAAGTGTTTCCTCCATCCCTTTCCTCCAGCTTGCTTTAAAATTGGTTCAATGTTTTGTGAGATTAAATGATTAATGGAAATTGGCTTATCGTATGGAACATTGGAATAAGCATACTGTAAACGTATAACATTTGGCGGTGTATTCTTTTTAGCGATTTTGACGGAAAGTAAAGTCCGGTAATTCAAGAACATCGCTAAATGTCTTGTATATTTTTATAACTAACAAAGTCAAACAGCGCTAAATCAAATCTTCGCGAACGTGTTGAAAATGGAATTTCCGCCAAATATCGTACACACGAAATGCAATACATTTACAGTATCTTATTCCATAATAGAGTACAACTTGATCCAGATGGCATTATATAACACTGAATACTTGAAAATGAGAATTACAAAGTACTTTTATTGAGCCATGCTTAATTCATCACCTAACTATGAAAAATGTCTTTGGATTTACATGTATATAAACTATTGTTTGTTTAGGAATACTGTAAGTCCAGGACCCACTACAGCTTTGTGGAGGCCCTCATAAGGAGAGTAAGAAGACACTTGAGGCTCAACACGGGGAGTTGATAAGCTATAAAAACAGACGTGTGGCTACATATACATGTATAGTGAAATGAGTGATGTTGTCTATAAAATTTGATATGACTTTTTCATTGTTTTTAATGTTAAGTTCTACTGACAGTGGACTTATTGAGCTGATATCGCATGGAACTTGACCTATTAATATCTGTGAAATCATTTTTGTGCATGTAATACAAGATGTATGTGAATTAAAATGAAAACATATACAATAAAAAGTTTTCTGAATCAGATTTCCTGTGTTTGTTTTGGGATTACATACACAGTCAAACCGTGGTATTTTGTTTCCAATGTGTCCAAGAAAAAATTCTAATAAAGTGTTTACTTAATTTATTTTATATATTATATTAATATATTGGTTATTTAATGTCCTTAAATAAGTTGCAAATAAATAGAATAAAAGGATTTAGATTTATTTTAGATCAAGGAGCGTATGATTCAAAAGTCAAGTATAATCAGAACTCCACAGTGTGCAGTGCACGATAGACATGATAGAGGGTCAAATTGATTAAAATGTACATAATTATATTTTTTCGTTCTTCATGCTCACAAATATACTGTGGTTTCATCAATATTCTTTGAGCACTAATTTTTTAGGAATTTGTTGTTGAGCAGATCCACGAAATTCAATGTTCATTCAATTGAAAAATACAATATTCATTTGTATATGCAATGCTTTACATGCTTTAGTCAACAAAATTGTGTATCCTTCAAAACGTCTATTTTTACAAAATCCATGATGGCAACGAAAATATTGATGAAACTGCAGTAAATAGTATTTTTCATGAGATATTGAAAGTTTCTTCTAATGGTGGGTCATTATTGGGCAGTCATTTCAACCTTGGATAGAATTATGATAAAATTGTTTATAAATTATAATTAATATTTTATACCTTATTGATAATATTATTATATGAATTAATTTACACAAACATATGAACATGAGAAAGTGAACCTGAATCAAACTATAAATTCTTGTGATTTTGGTGACATTGGAAAAAGTTTCTCTCACAATTAAGTCATTTTTTAAAACACATTTCTTTACATGTATTTGATTTTCTTCACTTTACCACTGTAATACTCAGCCACAAGGAGGTTGTCTCTGGTGTCTACACATAAACCCGATGGATAATACATTAATGTAACGTTATTAATGTCAAGGAGGAACTGTCCGTCCTGATCTAGGATATGGATACAGTGGTTATAACATTCTGATAACAGGATCTGACCCTGGTTGTCTGTTGTGATGCCGCATGGATAGAATGATCCCTTGTTAGTAGAGTAACGACCAGTGTATCTAAATCGGAGTTTTCCTGCCTGATTAACCACCACTACTTGACTTGCTCCACGGTCAGCCACACATATATCCAGGTTCCTGTTCTCAGTGATGTATTTAGAATGGGTATTAGATGAATACAGAGGTTTACCTTCACTATCAAACTGAATGGTTTGTTTTTCTGTGGAGCGAGAGAAACGGACAACTTTTGATTGACCTTTATCATTGCTGTCCATGATAACCAGGAGGTCACCAGAGGAGGTACAACAGACACAGTGCGGTGTCCACCCCTGTAGTCTGATCACTTCCTGTATCTGTTTATTCTTCACTATGTTTACAGTTCTTGTAACAGGGTCAGTATAAACTAGATCTCCACTCCTTGTCACTGCTATGCCACGTGGTGTGTTCCCTGACTGGGTTTGGATTGACTTCAGTAGTTTACCCTGGAGGTTGTAAAGATTTATGATTTTGTCTCCTCCACGTATCCAGATTTCTTCATCACTGAGACAGGTAACACTGTATAGTTTGTTATACCCAGTGTCTATGGTGGTGATGAGCTCTGGTTCATCAAGCAGTGGTTTGACTGGAGGACAGGATACAGCTTCTGGTGTCTTCATTGTGTAGCCATGTTCTTCTGTTGTAATGGATAATGATGACAGAAATCCAAACATTTGATAGAACTGTTCTGTGTTGATCTGATGAGGAGAGAAACTTGGTAATAAAACGTTGACTTTAGGAGGTAAACTTCTGAATTCAGCATTCCTGGATTTGTATGCAGAGGTTAGGGAGATATCATTGGAGTACAGTATTTTCTTCAGATCAAATATACACTGTGTAACGTCAGAAGTAATCTGTTTGATTTCATTTTCCTGTTTGTTTAGAGCAGCCAGGTGTTTAGTTTTCATTTCATCAATTTCCGATTTTTGTTTGTTAACAACGATATTAATTTCTCTGTGCCAGTCTTCTCCTTGTTTGGTGACAGCGGTTGTCAGTTTCTCATAATGTTTTTCGAAGTTGACTTTTTCAGAGTTTAAATCTGATGCAATTTCTTCATAAGTAGGATATATTCTTTTTTCTAGCTCTGTTAAATCCTTGTTTAAAATTTCTTGAATGAATCTGGGATTCTGTAAGATGTCTGTAAATTTATGCCCATGATGTTTATCAGAGGAGATGCAGGTAGAACAGACAGGAATGTCACATTTCTCACAGTAAAGTTCACAATGTCTCTGGGTGTGGTTTGGGCATTTCGGATAGTTCGCGTTATGAGTAGAAGTTCTGTTTTTGTATGGTACAACTTTGTGTCTTTTAGATGAATCAGAGAGATGTTCCCCTACACAGGCCTTACACAGGTTAATCTGACAAAGTTCACAATGACTCTGTAATGCAGCTGTTTGACACAGGTCACAGAGGAGGAGTACTTGAGCTCTGTCCAGGGGGTCCATCACTGAGGGTTTGGTCAAATGGTTAGATGACCCTGTGTGAAGTGAGTGGAGACATGAGTCACTGACTTCAGAAATTTTACGTAATTTTAAACGAATCAATGTAAAGTTTTGTTGTATTTGTGAAACTGTCAGACAAAGTTGGTTCAGAAGGAGAGAAAGGATCAATTTGTAGTTGAAAAATACTGTATAAATTTTCCTTATGTTTGAAAAATATTATTATTTGGAACAAAATCTTAATATTTACAACAGTCGAAACAGTTTTGATGTAGTCAGTATGATCGATCTAATGTGGCTCTCTCGTGCTTTTGACTTACATTGAATGCGTTTTACTATACTTGAGATCAGAAATGACACCTGGAAAGATCTTATAACATATTAAATCTTAAATTTTATCTTGTCTCACCTCAAAATCCAACATTTCCTCTCTGATAATCCCAAACATTACAATATACGCCCTTGTCTTTGTTCTAAATATTTACCTGTTCTCCATATCACGCGATATAAAAACCTGAGATATCTGATCTGCCTGCGTTGAGATTTCAGAAAAAAAACACCAAAATTAGGAGTTAAGAATCATCCTATCTGTCTCCAGTTGTGTATACATCTATTTTTTATCGGAGGAAAATCTTTAAATTAATTTTCTTTTTTAAAAAAAATTGTTGTTTTATAACCTAATGTACCTGATATTTGTAAGTTTTAACGACGAATGACTTCATGCAGTTACAATGTACATATGTAAGGATATGCGAAAATTGCGACAAAATAGACCCTTAAAACAAACATTTTTCTTTTATTTGCAAGAATAGTCAACATCTGCAATTATACATAAATTTACAGGTCATGTATTCATTTATGAGGTACGAATGTTTTTTCAAAGGCGGGGTCATCATAATTTTTTAATCTCCACAAGATTATGAGGACGCCCACTGCCTTGAAAATGTTCAACTACATGTAGGAATGTATTTACACTAGACAAAATTGCTAATGCACCACCTAAGAGAATTAATATTTTACTTTAAAAAACCTGTTTATGATGCATTTGATATATAAATATGTTACTTCAACAAAAAATATTTAAATCCCCTGAATAATTTCTCCTTTATTTCTTAAGAAAATCCATTGCGTTAATCACTGAATTAACTACATGTACATTAGGCATGTCGCCTGTACAGATTTCTTAGTCAGTGGCTGTTCCATCAATGAAACGTAGAAAGACGTTTGCGTCATTAATACAATACTTAACATTTTTAATCTTACTTTAAATGATTCTTTAAACAGATGTTAACTGAATATAAACAATAAAATGTCTTTCTTTGTTTGTTATTACTGGAATTAACGATCGCAGCTATTGCAGAAAAAAAAATACTTAACCCGCTTACGCGGGTTATGTATTTTTTCTGCAACAGCTGCTTCCGATATATAATAATTCCAGTAATAACAAGCAAAACAAGCATTGTATTGTTTAAATAAGACATATTAATGCCAAGCTTTAAAAATAACTACAATGTTAATTGAAGTGTGACCAATTCATAGAAAACCGGGAAAAATATTGTGTATTCCATTTATGAAGAAAAAATTCAATGTTTTCTTTGTATTTGTGTTCTTTCCATTTGTACTAGTAATAAACTCAGAAAAAAGTTACACCGTATCCTGCGTTTGACGCTCGAAAAGTGTGCAAAAGCAGACATGATGGCGTCTGCAGGGGTTCCTTTAGAAATATCTGTATGAAATAAAAACAATAAAAATCTTTAAAATACCAATCATGAAAAATTGTTCCAATTAGAAACAAACATAAAAATGTTTACTATGGATTACAACGGCATTAAGTTAGCAGCATACAATAATCTAATTGCGAGTCCTTTTCTGACCTTGTCAAAGGTTAGTGGTAGGGGGAGGGGGTAATCCCCCCACCGTTTTTCAAAATTAGACGTAATACATGTATAGGCATTGAAAATTGGGGCGTAGCCTCCCCCCCCCCCTATCACCACCAACCTTCATTTTCAACAAGCACCATTCAGTGAAGTCAAAGAAGGGTAAGTGGTGGTGTTTGGGGAAAATTGTTAACACCCCACGTAATAAGATTTCAAGGTTTGGAAAATGGTCATTTTATTCTCATTTGCTTGTCAATATCTTTTTAGTTTGGATTTTTTATTCTTTTTGAATCATGCCCCCACTTCCAATTTGCTTCTATCGCCAATATTACTAGATCTTATATAAGTTATTGAACTGAAACGAATATGCAGTGTTTGTATCAATATTTCGCCCAGATTTTACAATCAGATGTAATTATTATATAATAATCAAATCATTCATTACTACGAGTGTTAGATCGTAAAATTCGACTGAGGGGACAAGAGAAGGCTTTGCGTGCAAATCAAGTTGTTAATTTCATGGTCCAAGAGCTAACAACAATCAAGACATAATGAGTCCTTCAGATAACGACAGTCTCAACACAAAGCGTTGAGCAGATAACGACATTCTCAATACTAAGAGTCCAGCAGATAACGACAATATCAACACAAAGAGTCCAGTATATAACGACAATCTCAACATAATATGATCATGATCATTATGATCATGTTGATACTAAGAGAAGTAGGGAAAAATTAATACAGAAGCAAGCACAAATTTTGTGCACAATAAACATACAGATCTTTCAGTGGGTGGCACTGTAGCTCTCAGGTCTGTCAAAATATTTTTTTAGAAAGCTACAGTTCTGCAGCTATTCATAATTCTTCTATGGAATCATCATTGTTTGAGGAAGGAGGACTAACATTTTTGGATTGAATATCAAGTGAATCAGCTATATTTTTATTTCCACAAATGCTTATTTGGATATTTTATAAGTCAACAGATTCATTTAATTATTATTTGGTTAACCTTTATAAATTATGTCCTGTCCAGTACAAAACAAAATTATATATTTATGTCTGTCCACAAAAACTGACCTCCACAGTCACATCAAAATAATTCCACAGCATTATACAATAAAAAAAAAAAAGATATAAAAATATCTAAGACAAATATAAATGTATGTGGATTAGGGAATCGTCAATAATTAGTTAAATATTTGGAAAAATTTTCTTGACTTAAAATCTAACTCAAGATTATAACATGAAAAAATTTGTTAGGTGTAACACCTTCAGAAGACAGTTTCTGACTGGATACTTTGGATAACAGTTTGAGACTGTGAGTGAGAATTGTTGTAATGTGTGTAACAAGCAAAATACAAACAATATAGAAACATTAAACCTTTGTTTTATGTCAAATATATGCAATAGTAGGCCAGAGCACATGCTAGTTGTTGATAGAATTATGATAAAAAATATGGGGTGCTTTTACTATATTAAATAAGGAGCGACATATAAAACATTGTATATCCTAACATAGATCATTCATATATTCATTAGACTAGACAATAAAATTTTGATGTCGGTCCACGACAAAGGAAATATTGGGTGTCAATTTTGACTACCTCCGCGTTCTTAAAATGTAAACATTTTTAATCAAGTGAAAACAGTGTAAATTTACGCAAAATAAATCAAATGAATAAAAAAAATAGATAGAAAACAACTTTTGTTAACAGTAAGCATTGATGAAATAAGTTGTCATGATGTAAAACAAAAAGATATGAGCAATTGTTTCTCGAGATGGTTACTTACTTTGTCCTCCATTTTGAAATTGCGCAATTCAACGTCTAACAGTGAATCAACCGATGCCTGACCTCAATGTAGAGAGTGCGCGATAGGAATTGTGGGAAGGGGACCAGACTAATAAATTACATGCTTGATTGTTCTGATGACGACCGTCACAGGTCGAAACCGGTCAACAAAATAAAACTGCTGCATTCTCACGAAGTGTTGGTGATCTGAAATTTTGTGAAAGTCAAAGAAAACTTTCACTTCTTGTTCTCTGTTTTGTTGACTGATTGTACAATACAGTTTTTACTGGGCGTGATGCAGGAAGCAGAAATAAGTTACACAAAATTAGTATATACAACAATAGTGGGGTTACTATCATGACAAGATAACTCTGAATATAGCAGTGTGTACTTTATATTTAAGAAGTAGATATTCGTTAAGTAAATTCTCTGACTTTTATTGTTTTGTAGATTGATTGTGCAATACAGTTTTTACTGGGTGTGATGCAGGGCAAGCAGAAGAAATACAAAAAAACACACGGATCAGTGTCAGCGGATCTCGAAGACGCTATCCATTCTAAATCGGGTCAAGGACTACATGCAGAACCTGGTCCCCAAGATGGAGCGCTTAATTGAACCGGATGTTACCGCCTGAGGACCGACTGGAACCGCCGAGTCTGAAGAGTCAGTTGTTGGAACCAGATGTTACCATTGGAGGATCGACTTGAATCGCTGAGTCTGAAGAGTCAGTTGTTAGAGCTAGATGTTACCACCGGAGGACCGACTGGAACCGCTGAGTCAGAAGAGCCAGTTGTTAGAACCAGGTGTTACCACCGGAGGATCGACTGTAACCACTGAGTCTGAAACGTCAGTTGTTAGAACCAGATGTCACCATTGGAGGGTCGACTGGAACCGCTGAGTCTGAAGAGTCAGTTGTTAGAACAAGATGTTACCACCGAAGAACCGACTGGAACCGCTGAGTCTGAAGAGTCAGTTGTTGGAACCAGGTGTTACCATCGGAGGATCGACTGTAACCGCTGAGTCTGAAAAGTCAGTTGTTAGAACCAGATGTTACCACCGGAGGACCGACTGGAACCGCTGAGTCTGAAGAGTCAGTTGCTGGAACCAGACGTTACCATTGGAGGATCGACTGTAACCGCTGAGTCTGAAAAGTCAGTTGTTAGAACCAGATGTTACCACCGGAAAACCGACTGGAACCGCTGAGTCTGAAGAGTCAATTGTTGGAACCAGGTGTTACCACCGGAGGACTGACTGTAAACGCTGAGTCTGAAAAGTCAGTTGTTAGAACCAGATGTTACCACCGGAGAACCGACTGGAACCGCTGAGTCTGAAGAGTCAATTGTTGGAACCAGGTGTAACCACCGGAGGATCGACTGGAATCGCTGAGTCTGAAGAGTCAGTTGTTATCACCGGAGGACCGACTGGATCCCTGAGTCTGAAGAGTCAGTTGTTAGAACCAGATGTTACCACCAGAGGACCGACTGGAACCGCTGAGTCTGAAGAGTCAGTTGTTAGAACAAGATGTTACCACTGGAGGACCGACTGGAACCGCTGAGTCTGAAGAGTCAGTTGTTAGAACCAGATGTTTCCTCCGGAGGACCGACTGGAACCGCTGAGTCTGAAGAGTCAATTGTTGGAACCAGATGTTACCACCGGAGGACCGACTGGAACCGCTGAGTCTGAAGAGTCAGTTGTTGGAACGCGATCTAGATGAAGAGCAGGGGAACCAGTAAAATGTAGAACAAGTTTAAATGGAACTGGTCACTTTTATTTTTATGTAAATTTATTTGTAAATGAACTTCAATTTAAGTTCTCAATTGTGTTCATGAAATTTTTATACATGTCATACTGAATTTCAAGCTTCCTATGGGATATTTGATATCCATTTGTTATTGAGAACTTGGATAATTAACAAAGTTTTCATAATTAAGTCTAGAACATCCTTAGATTTCCTTTTTAAAAAAAATTGAAATAATTTTGAATTCTCTTTTTCAAATTACTAGCTAGAAGTTGGGTCTAGTCTAGCTGAATAGAGATTACATGAACATTTATCATTGAGATACAGTTGTACTACAATGTACATGTACAGAGTATTGCTGTGGGATATATCTACTAGGAAGTAAACTTTTATATTAGGTATGGTGACTATTGACCAGTTATTCAAAAGAGTTATTGCCCTTAGACCATGAAACATTTCTCAATTTTTTCTTATTTTGTTGACCCAGTAGTATGTATTAGGTTAATTTGCATTGCATGTATATATATTTCAAATTTAAGGACATTTGACACAAACAAATGGATGTATGGACTACTTGATATTTATTTAACATTGTAATTTGGTTGTGAATGATGTAAAATATTGAATTTCTAAAATGATAAGGTGTTTTTAAAATTATTAACTTTCTATGATTCGTTTGAAATGATACTTTTTTGCCATCATCCTGATAAATATTTACTTTTATTACTAATATGACATTATTATGAAATATTTAAATGAAAAAGTACAAATTTTGCTGTTATTTTTTAGTGTTCAAGAGAGTTATTGCCCTTAGACTGTGGATTTTCTAATTGCTCACTGAGCATTAAGTTGCATGGTATTGATAGACTTATCTGTATAGTTTATAATTTTTATGCTCCAGAATTTATACGGGGCGTATATTGTTTTTGTCCTGTCTGTCTGTTTATCTGTTTGTCTGTCTGTTTCAACTTAAACCTTCTTCATAACTTTTATACCGTTAGATATAGAGACTTTGTATTTGGTATCCATGCTTCACTAATTAAGCACTTACAACTGACACCAAGGTTAATGACCTTGTGACCTTGACTGTGACCTTTATGCTTAAAAATAGCTTTTTCGAACTTTCGTTATAATTTAGAACTGTGAGAGATAGAGACTTCATATTTGGTATGCATACTCCACTAATTAAGCACTTTAAATTGACACCAAAGTCAATGACCTTGTGACCTAAACAGTGAGTTTTATGCTAAAATTAGCTTTTTCAAATTTCGCCATAACTTTTGAACCCTGAGAGATAAAGACTCCATTTTTGGTATGCATACTCCACTAATAAAGCAGTCTTTCAATTGACACCAAGGACAATGATCATGTGACATTGACTGAGATCCAGAATTGCTTTTTTAAACTTTGTTGCCGCCAGGCTCATAGTGTTTCCCTAACACATCTTGTTAATTAATTGTTATCTTCATTAATTGATAATTAATTAATTAGACTTATCATTTTTATATACATGTCAGTTTTAAACAACTTTCTCCAAGTCATATGAATTTAGAATGTTGGTATTTATTAATTTATATTTTAATGTAGTGTTTTACTCATGGTAAATATTATTATTGGTTCAAATCTGACATTTCTTTGTAAATTTGATTTGGGAAATGTATAGATTCAGTTATTATGGTAAAAAAAAGTTCAAATGATAAAAATCAAGAAATCTTCATTGGTTTCTGTTCAAATAAATCTTATAATCAACTTATGAATATATTTACGCATGCATTTATAAAGTTTTTTAATACTCAACTTTCAAATTTGTATGTTTTAATTTTATTGATATTAAAACATTCAGTAAATATACATTTTTCTATATTATTATGCTGGTTCAGACTTAAAAGGTCACCCACATGGTGCAGTGGGGGAGCAGCTGCTTAATAGAGTCAAGGAGTAAGGTTCAAATCCCACTGTGGGACATGGAGACCAATCCTTTGGATGAGGCCAAATAAACGGAGGTACTGTGTGGCAGTGGATGCAGGCACAAAAAGATCTCATTGCTCATTTAATCGCCCCAAGTGTCAAGTATAGGTCAAACTTTGCAGCTCCCCATTGTCAAGCATTGTCAAGTGAAATTTTAAAAAAAATATTTAATAAGCATTGTTTTTCTTATTACTCTGGGGCCCAATTTGTATTGTATACCTAATACATGTATAACATTTCAGTTGAAAAAAAAAGAAACTAGAAGTGTCTGATGACTCTGTAGCTCTACCTGTCTGTACATATAACAAAGGAAAAGTAGCACATGAATTCGAAGCTTTGCAACAGGCAGCAATAAATAGAATTAGGTATCTTAGTGTCGTGTACTTGTGTGCCAAGTTTAATTGAAATCAGACCAAAATTAGAGGAGGAGTAACATTTTAAAGGAATTTCACAGAAATTTCTATTTCTAGTAACCATGGCAACATGGTTCATTGAAATCAAAAACATATGCACTAAATTATGTATCTTAGTGTAGTCTATAGCTATTTGTGTGTCAGGTTATATCGAAATCAGACCAAAACTATTTTCTTCATATAGTATTGCCGAACCCCAAAATACGATTTTGAACAATTTAGAATCTGCTATTTATCTCTGAAGAAGCTAGCTTCTACATACTGTAAGTTCACTACCAGTGTATTTCTGGTCCACACTGGTTCAGCCTCTTTTCTCCATGTCTTGCATACAAGTATCTTTTCTGTATTATGCAATAAAAGAAAAAATCTTGATTTAATAATGCTTATAAAATGTTTCTGAACAAAATATTGACAAGTGTCAATAAAGTAGTGACAAGTACTTAACTGGTATTTTAAAAAATCAGTTGGGGTGTGTGAATGTACATTTCACTGTCATTACATTTACTGTGGGAATTGTTTACATTTTGTTCCACTTTTAATACCTGTTTTGTGTTCCACTGGCATTATAATTTAGGCAGCTGGGTTCTTCCGAGTCTCGACGACAAAGTCCGATTTGATCCATTTCAGAAGTGCGAGTCAGATGTGATACCGGGTTCCAACTGTTTAAAATACAATAAAAATAAATATCAACTCGGGTTTTTTTTCTCGATAATGATCAAACCAATTAAGATGAACTGTTAGAATCAGGGAAAACATCGCTCACATTGCGTGTTTAACTTCAACTTCGAGATGGCTATTGTTAACTTGTACACGATTTCTACTTTCACTTTCGAATTTTCTCCGTATCGTAGGGTAGGCAGTACAGATGTACCGGCAGGCTTCAGTGTTCAAACAAATTTAACCAACTGAACAATAAATAGACCTAATAAAAATAGTAATGCTGATATACAAATATACAACATAGCAGAAATCTGGCACGTCGTTCACAGCCTACGACTGTACGACACAGTAGCCTGCAAGGACTGTTGAGTATATTGCCTTATGTACATAAAGTTCAAACATTTAGGGACCTCTGAAATTATGAAACTCTCAAAAACGTAATATTACAAAGACTACAAAATACTTACTTTTAACAGAGACTTGATAAATCCTTCTTCACCGTGTTTTCAATTTCTGTTACAGCTGGTGACGTCAAACATGACGTACAGTTTCATCCGATAAAAACAAAACCGATCCCGAGAAAAGCTAAGGACCATTTTTAGCCGGAAAAAATCCATATCCAAGTTGACATTTTGAAAGATAGACATAGAGCTTATAATTTAAGTCTAGATAAATTACTTTTTTAAGAATGTATGAAAAAAAAATGGACGAGGTGAAGAGGGTGCTAACAGTTAGAGCACCTCCCTTTCTCAAACCCACACGTGTACACACCCTTACACACACACACAGGCACTTGTGTCGGAAATACTTTATGAACCTATTGTATAATACTTACACAACTGTTATCTTTATATATTGGGTTTAAAAATTTATTTCCGACACAAGTGCCAGTACCCCCCCCCCCTCCCCACCCCCGACCGCCAACCCCAACTCCGGCGGTTTCGAGTATCCACATATGGACATCTTAACTAATTAATTAAATGTCACTAAAATGATTGGCAAGTATTGCTTAAAGCTAGGTCTAAAATTTGAATAATAACATTAATCTCGTGTTATTCTAATTAACATGAAATTAACATTAAAGAATTAACGTTAAATTCACATTAACATGAAATTAACATTAACTAATTAACGTTAATCTAATGTTAATATTTTGGTTCTAGTTTTTTAAGACAGAACCCAAGCTCACTTAAAATTTTAATGTTAATTTAACGTTAAAATTAACATGAAATTAATGTTAAGTTAAATTAACGTTAAAAATTAAAATGAAATTGAAATTAAAACTAAATTAACGTTAGGCACAATTGGCTGTGTAGCCATGTTCATCCGAACTAAACGAACTACACGATAAGGCTCCAAACAGTTTATTGAGTTCTTTCCCTATGAATTTTCTGGGAATAGATTTGGGTAAAGAATGAGCGATTATTTGTGGAAGATTTCTGTATATATCTATGTTGGATATGCCACTTCACAGTTTGGACAAGTCATTACGGTTTAAAGCAATGTCAACTGAATCGATTTCATCACTTATGTTAGAAATTGTCTTGTTTATACCATCCAGATTTTCCTGTAAAGTTTGTTACCGTATTTTTTTCTCATCTTATCAACTGCAGCTTTAAGGTTGTTGACAAGTTTGTTACTATCTTTGTGCCATTCCTCTCCAAGTTTTGTTATTGTTGTTGAGAGATATTCATAATCCTCTTCTAATTGACTCATTCTGTGTTGTACATCAGAGGCAATGTCCTTGTACTTTAGATAAATTGTCATATTTAATTCCATTTGTTCTCTAATGACTGTGTCCATTTGTTCTCCCATAACTTGCAAGATTTCTGATACCGATGATCAACATGATCAAGATTTTGCTCAGATGCAGTGCACTTTTTACAAACAGGAACGTCACATTGATTACAATACATTGCACGTAATTGTCATATTTATTAATTCAAATAGTTCTCTGAAAACTGTATCCCTTTTTTCCTCCATAACTTGCATGATTTCTGATACCCGATGATCAAGATGTTCCTCAGATGCATCACACTTTCTACAAACAGGAACGTCACATTGGTTACAATACATTGCACATCGTCGTCTGTAATGTTGTGAGAGAGAGGTAAAAGAACACGTCTGTCTAGTTTGCTAACTATTTATTAAGTGACCATCAGATTGAACATATTCCCATGCATATGATAATGATTGACAACAGATGAAATTAGGGAGAGAACTTTATCGTGAGAACTGATAATGTCAGAGAGCAGTGCTTGATTGAAAATAAACATTCTGATGCTGGCATGATAATTGTTAATTATAGATTGACAGATTTAATTTAGAGTATAAACATTACATCCCTCCCTTTCTTTAATTGAAAGCATGTACATCGAAATAATTCTAATTAACGTTTACACTTATCAAAGTTCATGTGGGATTCATTTTGAGAATTGTCCGTAATTTTCTAAATGTCCGTTCAACATTGGTGTCTCTTTCCTCGGACTTTCTAAAACAACATATTCATGCATAATTACTAATGTTATGTACAAAATCACTATATAATTATGATTTGGGGATTATTATGCCCCATTACAAATCTTCACACTATGCGCACACGTAATCTTTCAAATGCGCTGGTGGTCTGCGCTCGCGAGTTGACCGTCTAGGCTCCGGCTGTGCGGTAATTAATTCATCACTCGAATCGTCTGGTACCTCGGATGACCTTTCGTGTTCTTTAATTTTCTTGAAGAATGATGCGTTTCTGGTGACTTCTTTGTTATCATTCTTAGCGGTTATCATAGAGCCTTTTTGTTTAACTACTTCGTACGGCTCGGGACTGTATGGAGTAGATAGTTTGTCCTGTTTCTGTTGTTTCACAAGGACTTTGTCTCCCGGCTGCAGCTTATGATTTAGTGCTCCTCTTCTAATGTCTGCATATCTCTTCATTTTTTCTTTTTCTTTTTGATCTTTACGTGATATTTCCGTGTTTTTAGACGATGGAATAATCTCGGGAATTTTGGTTTTTAATTTTCTCCCTAGTAGTAATTCCGCGGGTGTTGCGCTCGTTGTTGCATGTGGCGTCGCCCTATAGTTGCGCAAAAAACTGTATAACTCTTGTTTCCAGCTTCTGTGTTCTGCATGTGCGGCTCGAATCGCTTTTCCAATGGTCTTCATGAATCGTTCCGCTTCTCCATTTGCTTGTGGCCATAACGGTGTAATTTTCCTATGTTGAAATCCTAGATGTTTTGCGAACTCCTTGAAGAGCGATCCGTTGAACGGAGGTCCATTGTCGGTTTTGACTACATCAGGAATTCCAAATAAGGCGAAAACGTTGTCAAGTTTCGGTATCACTGCCTTTGCTGTTAATTTTGATAGAATTTCGACAACAGGGTACCTTGAATAATCATCAACAACGACCATTAAGTAGGATCCCGACGGAAATGGTCCACAGAAATCCATGCTGACCTCAGACCACGGTCGGTTAGGTAGGGGTGACATCTTCAATGGTGCGTACTTTTGTCCTGGTACTGATGCTTGACAGGGAACGCATCCTTTACAAAATTCTTCTACTTGCTTATCTATGTTGACAAACCAAACCTTTTCTCTGAGTAGCTGTTTAGTACGGACTATCCCCTGATGACCTTCATGCGCTAATTTGATAACCGTTTGTTGTAATGATCTAGGAATGACCAACCTGTTTTCGATGAGTAGAACGCTGTGGTTTCCGTCACGGTGCAAAGTTAGTTCATTTTGCCTTCGTCTAAAAGTTTCAATTGTTTTATCGAGGTCTTTAGATTCTGGAATCTTTTTCTTGGAAATGATTGCTTCAATTACTCGTTGAAGGATAGGGTCTTTTTGAGTTCCATCGCTGATTTCAGCTAAGGTCAACGTTTTAGGTACGGCATTCTCTGTTACGTAATTAACGTATTCTTCGGCGATATCTGACAGACTGTTTATCTTTGTTGACTTAGACGGATGCCTGGACATGTAATCTGCCGCATTTGTTTTCCCTGGACGGTACTGTAGCTTAAAATGATATGGTTGCAGTTTTAATCGCCATCTCTCTATTCTCGCAGGAGGCTTTGAGTGCGGATTATTAAAAATCGCTTCCAATGGCTTGTGGTCGCTAATGACTTTGAAATCTTGACCAAACAAATACAGATGAAAATGTTCACATCCCCAAACAACTGCCAGTGCCTCGCGCTCAGTTTGTGAGTATCGAGTTTCCACATCATTTAACGCACGACTGCCGTACGATATGACTTTGCCTTCTTGTGTTAATAACGCACCAAGTCCTACGGGACTTGCATCAACAATCATTGTTGTTTCTTTTGACGGATCAAAATATGCCATAACTTTGTCACTTGTAAGTTCACGTTTCAACATGTCGAATGCTTTTTGTTGATTAGGTTGCCACTCAAACTTCACATTTTGCTTGGTTAGCTCTCGTAATGGCGCAGTAATTGTTGAATAGTTGGGAATAAATCTCCCTACATAGTTTGTCATGCCTAGGAAGCTCCTGACTTCACTTGCATTTGACGGTATCTCAGAGTTCTTTATCGCATCCACTTTTCTCGGGTCTGCGGAAATTCCCTCTGAACTGAATACATATCCATAGAATTCAATTTGCGTTTTGTTGAATTCACATTTTTCTTTGTTTAATGTGAGGTGTTTTTCCTCTAATCGTTTAAAGACTGCCTCTAGATTTCTGTCATGTTCCTCGCAAGTTTGTCCAAACACTATGATGTCATCACTGATGTTTCTAACCCCTTGTAAACCTTCAAGTGCTGTACTAAGCGAGTTCTGGAATACTTCTGCTGCTGAAAAAATTCCAAAGCTTAGTCGTTTATATCGACGTAATCCAACATGGGTTGAGAACGTTGTGATTTTCCGAGAATCTGGGTGTAATTCCAGCTGATGATACCCAGCATTCAGGTCGAGTTTGGAAAATACTTTAGATCCATTGAGATCAAGAATCATGTCATCAATGGTTGGCGTGACATGGCGTTCACGTTGTATTGCTGTGTTGGCTTTCCGCATATCCACACACAGTCTAATTTCTCCAGGTTTCTTAGGTTTAGGAGCAACGACGATCGGAGAGACCCATGGTGTGGGACCATTAACCTTTTCAATGATGTCGAGTTTCTCTAATTTCTCGAGTTCTTTCTCAACTTGTTTCCGGACATGGAATGGAATTCTTCTGTGTGGTTGTGAAACAGGTATCACAGATTCATCGACGTGGAGTTTTACTTGCTTGTGTTTAAGTTTTCCGATTCCATTGAACACTTTCGGGTACTTTTGACACAAAATTTCAATTTTGTCATCACTAAGAGATGCTATTTTCTGCACAATTTGCAGTTGAACACAGGTATCATATCCAAGTAAACAACCAGAGTTCCCTTTGACAACATAGACGTCCGCAATCTCAATTTTGTTTTTGTTTTCAATTGTTGCTTGGAATTTTCCCATAATATCAAGGGTAGTTTTAGAACCATACACGAACACACGGGTATCAGCCTTCCGCAATTTAACTTTGTTTTCAAGTTTCTTAAATGAACATTCATCTACAACGTTGATGCTTGAGCCTGTGTCGACTAGAACATTTACGGGTATCCCGTTGATTTCAACTTTTATTCGCGGTTGTCTCCTGGTAATGGAATTAATTTGATCTAAACCAAAGAGATATTCGCAAGATTCTGAATCAGAGTCGCTATTACATGCCTCTGGCTGTTTCACAGATTTGGGTTTACGATTCATTGATTTGCTCTTTGATCTGCAGACGGAAGCGAAATGGCCTATCTTGTGACATGCGTTACATGTCTTACCTTTTGCCGGACACGGTCCTTTCAGATGGGGAAACTGTCCACCACAGTTGAAGCATTTCTCCTTTGAGGGTGTGTCCGTCCGATCCCTGGTACCATGTTTTCTTTCCAGAAATTTGGGTGCATTGCGACGTTTCCTCATTGCATGCACTTCCTCGGCACTTTTGTCGGTCTTCTCGATTTCGCTTGCCTGTTTATCCGATAGTTCAAGTGATCTTGCCAGCTTAAGTAAATCTTCTAGGTTTATGTCGTCCCTCAGTGCTCGTCTTCTTAGTCTTGTTGAGCTGCATCCTTGAATTATCTGTGATTTCACTTCTTTGTCATTGTTGTTAAATTCACAAGTTAACGACAATTGTCTTAGCTTGGTGTGGAAGGTGTCAATTGTTTCTCCGGGTTCCTGCTTGGCCTGCCTGAATTTGTACACTTCAAATTCAGTGTTCTTCTTTGGGGCGAAGTATTCAGTCAACCTTGCTACCGCCGTGTCGTAATCATCACCTGTGTTAGGTAATGTCTCAAAAATCTCATTTACCTCCTCTCCAGCATAGTGAAGTAGCAGAGCTCTCTGTCTGGCTTTGTCGTTCTTTATTCCCATCGCAAGAATGAGATTGTCCAGTCTCAACTTCCATTTCTTCCAGCGTATGTCCGTTGCATTCTCATGCACAGAAAATGGTGGAAAGTTTGGTAATGCCGACATTTTGGAAAACTTTTGCTACAAGTGTACTACACAGTAGAACTAGTTTATATCCAAAAGATTATTCACAGAATCCTCGTCGCCATTGTAATGTTGTGAGAGAGAGGTAAAAGAACACGTCTGTCTAGTTTACTAACTATTTATTAAGTGACCATCAGATTGAACATATTCCCATGCATATGATAATGATTGACAACAGATGAAATTAGGGAGAGAACTTTATCGTGAGAACTGATAATGTCAGAGAGCAGTGCTTGATTGAAAATAAACATTCTGATGCTGGCATGATAATTGTTAATTATAGATTGACAGATTTAATTTAGAGTATAAACATTACATCGTCCATCATGTTTCGTACATTCGGGGTATAGGTGAGATTTCCTTTTTTGATATTTGACGATCTTGTGATCGTCGGATTCACTTGTTGAGACGTGTTTTCCCACACATGCCTTACACAGGTTTACAATGCATTTATCACAGTGCATCCGTACCACAGCAGTCTCACACAGATCACATCGCATCACGTCCTGGGCACTGGTGCGGGGGTCCATTGTTAAAGTTGTGCCTGAAGTAAAAATAGATTAAGTAGAGTCTAAATATTCTAACAGGACATCAGTAAAAGTAGATCTTTTTGAGAGTGTCCACTAGTGTTGTTGTAAAGACAAATTTCAGAGATGAAATACACAATCCCTAAAATTATTTTGAAAAATCTAATCTTTGAAAAACTAGGCACAATTTCGGATCTTGCAGTACGGTGGCATTTATGATTAGGGCGTCAAATCCCGAGAGTTAGCTACAAGTACTCACAGGTCAGGGTTGGCTAAGAAATACAAGTGGTGGGAATTATCAGAATTAAATTTTAGTCTTTCCCATCCCGGAAAATACTTCATATTTCTTCTACAATGTGAAAAATTCTTAAATCTTTAATTCAGTTATTTAATGCAAAATTCAGAAATCTCTTTTTTGACGATCTTCGTTCGGTACCAAAATTATGATTATAGTTTAATTGTCCGGGTTACTATCAAAGAGTAATTTCAAACTTCTTTTGCGACATAGATATGTTTTTTTTTTTACTTTTTGGCGAAGATAGCTAAACCAAAAATAAAAAAAATATGGTCATTATTAACTTTCTAGGTTACAATTCCTGAGCGAATTACAAAACAATTTTCACTAAATAGTTTCTTTTCCACATTTTGAGGTAATGTAACCAAATTTATGGCCATAATTAACTTTCCGATTAAACTTACTGAGAGTACTTTCAAACGTTTGTTTTCTCCAGTCTTTAAACAAAGCTAAAAAAATGCAAAACCATTCCAACAGTTATAACTGACGTCGCATGGAGATAACGATAAGTAAAGTAAATTTAATCAATTATTTAAATTCTGATCCCAGAAATTCTGGAATAAAGTTTTTGTCCTTTTCGTCCGTCAAGCTATATATCTATCGAAAAAAAAATTAATTCGCCATAATGTTTGAATGGATGAAGCTTTGACATTGATATTTCAGACATGTATATTTTTGGTGACATGGATGATTGTGATTTCGAATTTACAAATTATTACAGTTTAAGTCTGATTTTGTTTTAAAATGATAACCATCCATACTTCACGTCTTTGCATTGATGAATTGAACATATTATATTGTAATATATGAGGGTTGTCCGGTAATTTCGTGGACAGGTCGTCTAGTGTAAAAAATAATCATCACTGCGTTTTGAAATTCTCACTACTTATAGTACATATTTTCGGAATAAACATAGCAAATTTCAAATACATGTAGATATATACATAAATAAACAAATTATGAGATATTATGTTATGTATTGTATCGGAACACGGATGATAGCTTCAAAGTGTCCAAAGCAGAGTTACGTTTCATATTTGCTAAAATATAAAGTAGGATTACATGGATAAGTCCCACTTAAATTTAGAAATTTCATTGATGTACCTACTTGTGTCTACATCAACAGTTGAGGAACCAATCTATGACACACATGCTATCTTCTGAAGATTTATTAGCAAGTTACGGGCAGTATTATTACCATTATTCAACTAATAGACAATATTATATTGATGCTTGAAAGTGACAGCATCTTTTGCTATTACTATAGCAGTTTGTCTTTGTGATTTAAACTACCCGATGACTCAATTAAAAAGACACCACTTAGAAAACTCCCATTTCATTTGTATACCAAAGATCTGGTAATACTTTCATATTTTTTCTTCTGTATTCATAGAAAATAAGGTCTCATTACAACCTTCAGTTCAAAATGAACTGCTATTCGGTGCGCCGTAACGTCATCAAACTTCGCCATATTTCGTGTGTTAAGCTTACCACTTTCCCATTTCAAATGCTCGGGAAACTGTCAAAAATTAACCAAACGTACTACACCTTTTATAAAGAGGACAAAATAGATTGAGGAATCGAATATGGATAATTTAATCCCAATTTTTATATATGTATTCAAAACTTTTATTTCGAAATAATACTTGTGTCATCTCTAATAAAACCTTGGGGGTTTTTTAACCGTGCACCGTAGGACCACACTCTGTGCACATTCAAGCATAATAAAATCTTTTTTCTTATCTAAAGATAACCGAAAAAATTATGATGCACTTAGACCATGTAGATATAATAAATAAACATTTACTGTCAGGAATATTTCAGCTAAGTGCGTCCATAACTTTTAGAGAAAAACGCTTTGTCCGCAATTTTACCGGACAGTCCTCGTATGTAATCCTCACTGAGTGGAAGTTATTCTGATCACAATGCAGTAAGAGAGATTTTTCTCTCTTATATTAGAACTTCACCAGAGCAAATACTTAAAGGCCGAGGTTTTCAACCGTACGGTTTTCCTCAGGTAAGTTTGGTATGGGGTGGAGCTTAATCGAAGCGGCTGAGAAGCCCCGAGGGAACGACTCTGGCTTGTGTATACTACCTATATACACAGGATGTTACCTGAGTTTATTACCTGTATGCGTTTTCCTACGACTTTGTAAACCGAGGCCGTTTTTTTTTCATGTTAGCTCATTTTAAAATAATTGATATTTTCAATAATTCAACATTTTTTATATATACAGTGTGTTTTTTAATGAAGTATTATAACGAAAATACATTGAGCACCAAAATCTGTCGCTGTAATCTGGCGACAAAAAGGGAAGTAATTCAAATTACACGTCATCTACGCTAAACGAAAGAAGAAAGTGAATCATACAACAGTCTCTCGGTAAATAACAATGAAACTTAGAAACGATATTTTGAGAATAAAATGTTGAAGTAGAAATATTTTTGTCCAAATAAATATCTTTTTAAGATTTACCCTCCTTGACTTTTCCATAACGCATGGTCTGTAAAAATGGCCAGGTCGGACATGGGTTGATTCCCCGACAGCTATGAAAGGGGAATGGAATCATTTGCATCGTTTTTTTCTTTTGAGACTCATTATTAATTTCAAACATTAAATAAAAAGCAAGATGTTATATTCCGAGTAATTTCTCTTCTAAAACATTATTATACCGTAACTTCGTCACCATGTCTCGAAGAAAAGCGACACGTACAGGTTTGTCTTATAAATATAAATTCGCTTGCCTCATGGACAATGTTACAATGTTGTCTTACTTGTTTAAAAAATATTATGATACTAGCTTCAAACGCAGGTCAGTTTATTTTGTTAATTAATGGAGGAATAAATGTAAATTAACTCATGTTTTGACACGGAAATTAAAATTATCGACTGTAATCGTAAATATGAAATCCTCCCTTTTAAAATTAAATTTATAATATATATATATATATATATATATATATATATATTAAATTAATTTATTAATTATTTGATAGCTTGATTATATCTATGGCATATTCTTATAAATTAAAAAAAGAAAAAAACGATTTGATTGCTTCTTTATCACGTTGGGATGTGCGGTAGGCATCAAAAGCCTGAAAGTTAATTCGATGGTCGGTACGATCTCCAGACAAGGTACACAAGATATACACAACAGCAGCAAACTAAATGTCAATCAAATCAAAGTATCCAATCCCAGGCTTATATTTCAGATGATTGACAGGGGTTCTAAGACCAAATAAATTTTAAGGAGGTGCTTATTTCCTCCCCCTTTAACACAAAGAAAATGAAAGAGGGTTCTGTTAAGCATTACATTTTGTATATACGAGGGTTGTTAAAGCAGTTCGTGAACATACCAGGTATTAGTTCACTGGAGATTTATAGTGCTATATGCTGATAAAATTGTTATTTATGATAGATAAGCAAACAAAAACATTTCCAATAAGGTCCGCCAAGAAGAGTTATCTCCCCCAGGTGGCGCTTGTGTACTATGAGGTATAGATCCGTCGCCATATTGTTTACTTTATAAGTTAGAAACCGCGTTTGTGATAAATCGTCGATATGCCAGTGTATTGCTGTGTACCTATGTGTAAAAATAAGATAGGTGGGCATCTGTTCCCTTCGAATCCTGATTTTATATTAAAATGGCGAGTCGCGATTCGAAGATTGGATGTGAAAACACGAAAGTTATGGGAGCCAGCTGCTCACGACCGGGTGTGTGGCGATCACTTCACACCCGATGATTACATTCAGTCAACATTACTTGGTTAGTCCGTTATCGTAATCTTATTGTTGATCTAATTATTACGTTTTTAAGTTTGGAAATAATTCTTAGTTCCAAATTATCGTTCTTAGATGATGATAGTTATCTCAACGCGATGTTCAGCATGCTGGTCATAGCCTAACGTTAACCTACAACTGTTTTTATACCCTGGCGGAAAAATACGCGGTTCTCGATTTACCACTTACACAAACATCTGACAGTATTGTTTTTATACCCATATGATTAAATAAAGAGAAAACGTAAATTTGAAAGTAAGCTTCAGACGAGTTTCATTTATTTTAAGGGGAAAGAAAGAGACTGAAACCAGAAGCTGTTCCTTCTGTCTTTCCCTTTGCGTGTAAGAATGAGTTACCTAGCACAAGAGAGCAAAGATAC